ACTACAAAAATGAAATGGAGGTAGGGGAGGCTCTCGAGGAGGCTCTCCAGACTGGTATCGTCAAGAGGGAAGATCTTTTTGTCACAACCAAGGTTGGTCCAACCATTTCAAACCATATAGATTTGTCTGATACCTTGGGTTTTTTCCAAGTATGAAACAAATTTGATATTTGTGAGTGATTTTTTCCCCAGTTGTGGAACTCGGACCATGGTCATGTTCTTGAGGCCTGTAAAGACAGTTTGAGAAAGCTACGCTTGGATTATCTGGACCTTTACCTTGTTCACTTCCCTATTGCCACAAAACATACAGGTGGACATGCATGTCTGCTACTGTTTTTGTAGTTGGATCATTTCATTTTCTCCTGTATATTGTGTGCCAGTTACCACAAATTCTCAAAATATCAATTTGTCCCTAGTAAGGTTGTTTGTTATTTCACATTTGGTGCACCTGTACAGGAGTTGGTACAACGGCAAGTGCAATGGGGGAGGATGGAGTTCTGGACATTGACACCACCATATCATTAGAGGCTACTTGGCATGCCATGGAGGATCTTGTTTCCAAAGGCCTGGTTCGCAGTATAGGAATCAGGTACTCTTTTTTGTTTATTTATTTTTAACGAAGTTGTTTCTAAGGGTTTGAGTTTGACTTAATGCATACTTTTCTTCATTCATGTTACTGCTTGGAATAAATTGTTGTCCGGAATATCATTTTTTTATTTTGCTTTATACGAGCAGTAGTCATACAGGTGGTGCGTTATCCTGTTACAGTGCTACAAGTTAGTATGTGCTGATAGGCTAATTGCAAAGTCCAACACCATTACACCAATGATAATGTGATGGTGTTAAGATGCTGTTCCAGACAGGAAAGTACTCCACAAGACATCCTAGTTATTACTCGCACTACAGTAAGAGATTATACGTCTTCACCTTTCACACACAAACAAACTTGTCCCTAGATAGTAATAGGGACCATTTGGTAAGGATTATTCAATTACTGGCTGAATTTTCTGAAAGACCTTTTGTTACATCCATTTCTGCCACATAAGTCAAAAGCGTTCAGGCATGGTAGTTGGTTGGGTAACTGGGCAAGCTTAGGTTCTTGAGTATGCCTTCTACCGAAGTTCCACTCCTTGTGAGGTCATCCGTGGCTCCTCAGCAAGTGATTCAAATGCTGGCATATTGGTCAGCCTAGTATGTCAGCCCCAGGGATGGGCGCCGCATTGGCAAGATGGTTGAGCTCTGCTAGTGTATGTAAGGAGTTCCTGGGTTATCAGAAATAGAAAAGTCAAAAGCTACTTATTGTGCTAATGAGCAGAATAAGCCAAAAGAGGAAGCGGTCCCGGGTTCAATTCTCAATGGAGTAAAATTGATCCCAGTTTACCCCAGGCCTCCCAACCCCCCTCCCCCTGACGCCCCCTGGGGTAAAAAAAAAGAAAACAAAAAAGAAAAAACAGAATAAGCCAAATAAGGTTACTAAACAGAACCTTAGTAACACTATACAATAACAGTGATGGAAAAGTACTCTTGCATGTTGATGTTAAATACTCAGTAACTTGCATGTAGCTTGACCATATTGCAATGCCAATTCATGTGTGCAGCAACTATGACATTTTCCTTACCCGGGATTGCTTAGCATATTCAAAGATCAAGCCTGCTGTGAACCAAGTCGAGACACACCCCTACTTCCAGCGCGATTCCCTCATCAAATTCTGTCAGAAACACGGAATATGTGTTACGGCCCACACTCCTCTTGGTGGTGCTGTTGCCAACACTGATATGTTTGTTTCAGTATCATGCCTTGAAGATCCCGTTCTCAAAGTAAACCATCTTTCTTGCATATATTTTTTATTTCTTAGAAAAGATAAGTGCTTTAAATGGAACTTGCAGTAATCATTTGGGATTTATGTTTTCTATTGTGTGAATGTGTATAAAAGGGCATTGCTGAGAAGTATAAGAAGACAGTGGCTCAGGTTGTGCTCCGGTGGGGCATCCAGAGGAACACAGTGGTGATACCAAAGTCATCAAAGCTCGCAAGACTTGAAGAAAACATCAGTGTTTTCGGGTTTGAACTTAGCGAAGAGGACATGGAACAGATCAAGAGGCTCGACAGAAACTATAGGACCAATCAACCGGCAAAGTTTTGGGGCATAGATCTGTTTGCATGAATTTCACTTGGTATAGGCCCTGTTATGAGTCTCAGTGTTCATGTAAGGCTTTAAAGTGTATTATGCTCTGTTTCTAGAGCTGGTTTTGCTATGGGACATTTTTCATATATTCTGGTCGAATAAAAGAATCCTCAGAAGCAAGTGTCGAAGAGAAGATATCATTAGTTATTTAGTTAACTCCTTTATTAGGCTTTAAAAAACAAGTAGAAATACCATTAACAAAATAAGAGATGAATGGATTCAAATTTTAACATGATTATGAGAACAAGCTTCTCAAAGAAACCAAATTTTACAAAAATAGCTGATAAAAAAAACTCCTGGGAGATTCTATTAGAAGCTAATACGGGAGTATATAAGTTGAGGAAGCGGGTTGCCATAATCCTTGTGAACTATTCATGAAAGTGGACTGATAAACAGGCTTGAAATCAGTGATATTTTTATTGTTTCACTTTAGTACTATTTTAGCTGGCTTTATTTTTAGTACTATCATCTTCTTATAAATAGGCTTGAAATCAGTGATATTTTCTTGTTTCGCGTCTTATTTAGTCTCTAAAACTCGTAGTTGTGTGTGTACAACAATTTTAAGAGCTTGTTAAAAAAAGTTTAAGATTTATTCATTTATTTCGAGAAGTTACATTAAGTAGTTTTTGCGATAAAGATTGCATTTTTTAGCATTAATTATATACAACTTGGTTGTTATACCAAACCCACTATTCGTCTATTCCTGCTTGCATTTCATTTATGTTCCCGTGTTTTTATCTTGAAATAATGGCCCTAATATTACTCCGTAGGTTTATAATTAAAAAAATATGACCACTTTTGGTTTTCCCAAAAAAGTGACCCCTCCCTCCATCTCGCGTGAATTAGACAGGTCGCCCGCATCCATCCGCATCTTCATCCGAGATCAATCAGCTCTTCGCGTCTGCTCCGACATCTGCATCGCCTATCTTCTTCCGTTACCAGCTCCGTCGAAGACAACGAATCTCGCCGCCTACACCACCAGATGCCGCCCGCTCCATATCTGCTCCACAAGCTTTGTTTTTCCGTCGTGTCTGCTCCAAATCCACTCCAGAGATCGGAATGAAGGACGACACTTTGGAGATGGCTCCAATAGACGGCGAGCGAAGCTTGGAATCCATTGTGTTAGCCATATTATTCTTATTATTATGTGTACATATTTTTTTCGTGTAACATGTACGTAGTAGGTAAGTTAGATTAGGAGTTTTATTCTCTTTTATTCTTTCCTTTTACGACTCCTTATTTTACGCCTAGCAGTACTCCAACGCAGGAACGATCCATACGTGTAACCTGTATATATGGTCGCATCCTTTGGATCTGTTTTACATGGTATCAGAGCGCTGATCTTGGGACCGACGGATCGCACAAAACGTGACTGAAGATGGCTGGCGAGACTGGGAGCTTCGCGGGAGGAAATCGTGACCTAGGTGAACGGAGGAAAATTAACGATCCCTCCTCACCATACTACCTGACGAGCTCGGACTTTCCGGGACTACACATCTGCGCGGTTGTTCTCAAAGGTGAGAGCAATTACCGAGAATGGGCCACGGCGATGAAGAATGCGTTCCGGGCAAAGCGGAAATTGGGGTTTCTAGACGGAACCATTAAGCGGCCAGTGAACAATGAAAGGGATCTCGAAGACTGGCACACAGTGAACTCCATGGCGGTAGGATGGATCATGACCTCGGCGGATCCGGCTATACGCTCCAATCTGGCCTATATGGACAGCGTATGTGACTTGTGGAATGACGTGGAGGCATGCTTCTCTGTTGGAGACGCAATGAGAACTTACGAATTGAAAGAGATGATTCGGAATTGCCGGCAACAAGGACAACAAATCACTACCTATTTTGGGCGACTCAAGACACTTTGGGATGACTACGATGGAGTCCGGAATTTTCCCCAGTGTACCTGCAATGGGTGCACGTGTGATTTGAAGAAACTGTTTATCAAATATATTGAGAATGAGAAAACACATGATTTCCTTATGGGTCTTGACACCGAGACATATGGCAATTTGAGGTCAAACATACTGGGAGCAGATGACTTGTCGGCATTAACCCGCGTGTACAACATGGTTGTACAGGAAGAAAGACTTCAGAGCATGACACGGGGACGTGAACCAAAGCAGGAGGTGGTTGCCTTTGCTGCACGCCCAGGACCAACGGTTGGGAAGGATGAACGCCCAAAGTGCTCTTATTGTCAGAAGTCTGGTCATGACTATGATAATTGCTTTCGTCGTACAGGAAACTACCCGGAGTGGTGGTATGAAAACCCGGGTCGAGCTCGTGGCGGCAGAGGGCGTGGAGGAACCGGCCGAGGGAGTGCTGGACGTGGAGGAATGGGGAGAGGCTCTGGACGTGGACCAATACATGCCATGCACGTGGGTGACTTCCAGGGAGATGGCACACAGACACAAGGAGCGAAAGAGGTGGTCCCGCATAAGCCGGGGTTCACCGACGAACAATGGCAGACATTCCTCAAGTTGATGGAAAGTTGTAAGACATCTTCCTCCGGTGAAAAACGCACAGGTATGAAACTTGACAATGAGTGGCTTCTCGACTCTGGAGCCTCGTATCATATGACTGGGCATAATGGAGTATTGACGGAAATTGTTTGCATAGCTCCCGTGCCTGTGGTATTACCGAATGGGGAACGTGCAGAGGCCACACACGTCGGGAATGTGGCTCTTAATACAAGCTTAAAATTAACTAATGTCTTGATTGTACCTGGGTTACAATGCAATTTGATCTCTTTAGCTCAGTTGATTGATAACCGAAAATGTGATATATTTTTTACTAATGATTTGTGTGTAATACAGGACCTACTTACGAGGATGCCGATTGGAGTGGGTGAACGACGAGGGGGAGTTTATTTTTTCCGGGGTCTGGATCGAGCTCAGGCATGTGCAGTGGGAGGTTCAGACTCAGATGGCTTATGGCACTCAAGGTTGGGACATCCGTCAGTAAAAGTACTTCGTTTGCTTGGTTATTTGAATAATTCGTTGTTGCATTCTGTTGAAAATAAAGTTTGTGATGCTTGTATGAGAGGCAAGCAAACACGTGATAGTTTTGTTGTCAGTAGTGCTAGAGCTGTTGAACCTTTTGAATTGATTCATTGTGATATTTGGGGACCTTATCGTGTTGTGTCTACTTGTGGTGCTCGGTATTTTTTGACTGTGGTAGATGATTTTTCTAGAGCTGTTTGGGTGCATTTGATGTGTGACAAAGCTGAAGTCAAAAATATTCTTAAACAATTCATGGCAATGACCAAGCGGCAATTTAATAGAAATGTCAAGATTGTGAGAAGTGATAATGGAAAAGAATTTGTTAGTCTACAAGAGTATTTTTCGACTAGTGGAATTATTTTTCAAACAAGCTGTGTATACACCCCACAACAAAATGGTAGGGTCGAACGGAAGCATAGACATATCTTGGAAATGGCTCGAACTCTGCGCTTTCATGCAAACTTACCCATTGAATTTTGGGGCGAGTGTGTGTTGACCGCGGGGTATTTGATTAATCGATTACCCTCTCCCGTGATAGATAACAAAAGTCCCTATGAATTGCTATATAACAAAATACCGGTGTATAGTCAATTGCGGGTCTTTGGTTGTCTTTGCTACGCACATGAGCCCAATCATGGAGGTGATAAATTTGCGGCTCGTGGCATTAAATGTGTTTTTTTGGGGTACGCGTATTCACAAAAGGGCTGGAAGGTGTATGATCTGGAGAACCAACGCCACTTTGTTTCGCGCGACGTGAAATTCATTGAGCAGGAATTCCCTTATAAAGTGGGGGAAGCTACTCTGGACCATGACTTAAATGCCGAAAAGGATTTGCATGCCTGGCAGACACACGTGCATGGAGTTGATGATGATGACTTGCGTGACATACCTCACGGACCAGTGCAGGCAGAAAGGAGGGAAACCAATGACTCTCAACATATGGTGGATTATGGTCATGCACATGAGACTGACTCAGGGAATGCTACGGCTGGTGATGGCATCGATGACGAAAATCATGCTCCTGATGCAGAACTACCTCGACGAAGTATGCGAGCTCGTAAGGTTCCGGAGTGGCATCATGATTACGACGTACAGTTAAATACGGTTAAAATAAACTCTCCCCCCGACGGTGTCCCCGCTCTCACGGCAGAATCAGGTACGCCTTATTCACTCTCTCATTATATAAAATATGATCATTTTTCGGTTTCGCACCGAGCTTTTCTTGCAGCTATCACCATGAGTAAGGAGCCCAGTACCTTTAAGGAAGCGGTTCGGGATGCTCATTGGAGGGATGCTATGAGTCGTGAAATCCAAGCCCTGGAGCGAACAGGCACATGGACAGTCCAGGATTTGCCACCCGGGAAGAAAGCTATATATTGCAAGTGGGTATACAAAATTAAACACAAGAGTGACGGGACTGTGGAGCGTTATAAAGCAAGACTAGTTGTGTGCGGAAATCGCCAAGTAGAGGGCATTGATTACGGGGAAACTTTTGCTCCAGTCACTAAGATGGTGTCGGTACGTACCATTTTGGCGGTTGCTGCTTCCTGTCATTGGGAGCTACATCAGATGGATGTAGATAATGCCTTTTTACATGGCGACCTTAATGAAGAAGTCTACATGCACCTACCACCAGGATACTCAGCTTCATTTCCTGGGAAGGTATGTCGTTTGCTGAGATCTCTATATGGGCTTAGACAGGCGCCGAGATGTTGGTTCTCAAAACTTACATCATCCTCCTTACGAGATCATGGCTTTACACAATCCCATGCGGATTATTCTTTATTCACCAAACGGAGAGATAGTCGTATCATTTGTGTTCTTATATATGTCGATGATTTGTTAATCACCGGCAATGATCGCGCCATGATAGCGGACTTTAAAGCCTATCTTGCTTCCACTTTTCCTGTTAAGGATTTGGGAGTCATGAAATATTTCCTCGGGATTGAGGTAGCCAGGAACCCCACAGGGATTTTTTTGTGTCAACGTAAATATGTGCTTGACATTCTCACTGAGACCGGGTTGTCCGGATGTAAGCCGGCTGCCTTTCCGATGGTACAAAACCACCGTCTGCAGTCTGATTCTGGACCACTTTTTCCTGATCCCGAACGATATCGGCGGCTCGTTGGGAAACTTATCTACTTAACTTTGACACGACCTGATATCAGCTATTCGATCCATATTCTTTCACAATTCATGCAAAACCCCAGAGTAGCTCATTGGGAGGCTGTACTCCGTGTTCTTAAATACCTTAAAGGGCGGCCAGGACAGGGAATTTTGTTACGCTCAGATTCATCTCTCTCGCTCACCGGCTACTGTGATGCCGATTGGGCAAGTTGTCCTGTCACTCGACGATCGGTTACGGGTTACTTCGTCTCTCTTGGATTTTCTCCTGTGTCATGGCGAACCAAGAAGCAAGCAACGGTCTCTCGGTCTTCTGCGGAAGCTGAATATGGATCTATGGCCTCATTAACGTGTGAACTCATTTGGCTACGGAATTTACTTAGTTCACTCGGTGTTACACATTCTGGACCGGTTCGTATCTTTTGTGATAACCAGGCTGCATTGCACATCGCTTCCAATCCGGTGTATCATGAGCGGACCAAACATATTGAGCTTGACTGTCACTTTGTCCGAGATCACATACAAGCTGATACCATCCTACCTTCCTATACACCTACTACGGATCAACCGGCGGACTTACTCACCAAAGCCCTTGGAGCACGACAATTCTCATATCTCCTTGGCAAGATGGGCATTTGTGACCCCCATGCTCCATCTTGAGGGGGGGTGTTAGCCATATTATTCTTATTATTATGTGTACATATTTTTTTCGTGTAACATGTACGTAGTAGGTAAGTTAGATTAGGAGTTTTATTCTCTTTTATTCTTTCCTTTTACGACTCCTTATTTTACGCCTAGCAGTACTCCAACGCAGGAACGATCCATACGTGTAACCTGTATATATGGTCGCATCCTTTGGATGATTGAAAACAGAATACAAAAAGAAAATTTCTCTCATATAGCATCTGTTTTACACATTGACGACTAGAGAAGCTTTGCGATTTCATTCCTTCTTCTGCTATTTCATCCCTTCTTCAACCCATCCTTCTGTAATGGTCTCCATTGCTAAGGCTTAGAAATCTGACCGCTAGGACTGGGATCTGGTGAAGCAGGTGGGCTTGGTGACGCAGAGGGAAGAGGGTGGGTGAGGCTATACTCGATTTCTTTTACTCCCTCTGTCACTTTATATTTAACCAAACACTATTTTTTAAGTCAATGATGTTGAACTTTGATCGATTACTTATTTATATACGGTAGTAATGATAATATGGAAATGATATGAAAATGTTCTTTGTTAAAACTTTCTGCTCATAAAAGTATAAATTTATTAAGTTTCACATAAATATATTAGTTAAAATAATATATCAAAGGTTATCATCTTTGACTGGAAAAATCAAATATGGTTAAATAAAGAGGGACGAAGGTAGTATGAAGCAACTACCACCATGGAATACGGGTGATGAATCACCATCTTTTGGAGTAAGGATTTGGGTTATATTGTGATTTATGTGTTTAGTATTGTAATAGTTATTAATTCTTTATATGACTAAATATATGATGAGGAAGATTATACGAAGTGTTGAATTGGAATTGGAAATATGTGGAGCTTATAATTTTACATTGTTTTGGATATTCACGTGTATTATTGGTGTTGTGCGATTAGAGTCCCGTAATACGTGACAAAAATTCCATTATTTAAAATTTTGGTCTTGAATTAGAGCCTCACTCAAATGTGTAGGATTTTTTTTGTGATTATAGTCCTATTACATGTATTAGAGATTTAGAGTCTCATTTTAAAAAAAAAATTGATGTAGTCCATTATTTTGGAAACTGAATTGATATGGTATTTATTCCGAAAATTATACTCCATTAATATGGTTGATATTAAGAAGTTGTTATATTCACCGGATATGAATATTTATGATTAGAAAATTTTAAAATCTGATGTCATCTGATTTTTTTCTGAATAACATACAAATAATGACTATAATAACATACAAATAATAAAAATGTTCTTAAAATATGATTTTTAAGAAGTTGCTTCAGAAAAAAATAATAACAGTATTCATAATTAATTTCAATGGAAGCAACTTGCAATAATAACCTACAAAAATATTCAGATTAGATTGGAATAATCATAATAGTAAAAATAACAAATTATATATGAACCTTTCCGATTTGAATTTTCCGATCGGATCTATTTTTTTTTATTTAATCTAATCTAGATTGAATGTTTTGGGCTAATCTGATTTGACTTTTTATCTAATCTTGTCTAAATAAGATAAGAATAAGTAATACGGAGTAAAAAATAAGGGAGTGTTTGGCAATTGGCTGTTGGTTGTTAGCTGTTGGCTGATTGTGTTAGCAGATTGATGTCAGTAGTTTCAGTTGGCTATTTTGATTGGCTGATAGGATTAGCAGTTTCTAAAATAGTGTTTGGTTAAATAGCTATTTACAATCAGCTGATAACTTGTTAAATGACTTTTAAGGACAACTATTAAATTTTATTTATACAATTAGTACAACTACTTCAATCGTTTTTATGATTAAAGAAGTAAAGATGAATAAACATACGTTAATACTCCCTCCGTTCTCTAATAGATGGGAGTATAGCCTTTGACACAAGGTTTAAGAAGAAATTAATAGGGGTAGAATAAAAGGTATAGTGAGTTGTGTGTAAAGGAAAAAATAGGAAAGTGAATGAAAAAGTAAGAAAGAGAATGAGCGTATATATGTATATTTATTGGGGAAAAAAATGTAAAAATGGAAATGGAGACATGCATAAGAGAACATCCCAAAATAGAAAGAGAGACATGTATTAAAGAACGGAAGGAGTAATTATTTTAGACATTTCTTTTCACGAGTTAATAAACTTAATTGCAATAATCATATTTAGATTAATTATTCTAGCCATATTTTAAAACTGTAGTGGGGTTTCAAGTAGAAAACATTTTCAATCTAAGTGTTGGAGAAGGCCATGTGCTCCTATCTTTATTCTTTTGCTCTTCCATCAATTCGATTAATTCGGTGGGAGCTCTTCGATCAATTCGGCGGGTCCACCCAATAAAGTCACAAAACGGGTTTG